AAGAATAATATACATCCACACGACGCCGCTGCAATGCCGCTGCGCTGCGGCACCATCTCGGACATCGTAGAGGCTGTCGCCCTTGACCCAGCAATGAAGTTCTTCTCCGGTCTTGCCATACCCACTACAACCGTTGGCGGAAGTGACAGCAACAACTGCAACAGCAGCAACGGGATAGACTCGCGCTCAATGACGTGGCACAGCGTGTTGCGTGAGGCTGCGCGCAGGTCTGCGGAACTGTTCCCGACTTCAGCCGCCGGTGGGGTGCGGCGACCATATTTGTGGAGCCTGCGCGGCCCCGCCGTGTATGACGAGGGGCTCGCCGAGCTGCAGCACGCCATCGCCTCCACGGCAGCAACACCAACAAATGCTTCTGTGTGTGCGCTACCAACAGGCCTCGTCGCGCACGAACGGCCGTTTCGCGGGCACGACGCGCACGTGTCACTCTTCGGCCCGTCGCACCGCATTGGAGTGCGGCTGTCGGCGGCGCTGGAGAGGGCGGAGCAGCTGCTGTCGGTTGGTGCCTTCACGCACCACTTCGCCCGCTACGGTGTGGCGGAGGACGACATGCGCGATGCCGTCGTGCGGCTCTGGGACACGGCGGCAGCATACGCGGCTGCATAGAGGCGGGGTGGGTGCCCGCATCTCTCGCTCTCTCTGTGTGTGTGTGTGTGTGTGTGGCGAAGAAAAGGAGCGAAGTGAGGCGGCGCGCAGTTCAATTCACGTGTGCACGATACCGCGGTGCACGCCTGGCCACGGCGTCCGGGGTGCTCTCTCCTGTCGAGCCGGCTTGTGGCGGCCCCACGAGACACCGTCGTAGGGTGTGGATGAGTTATTGTGTCGCTTCTGCTGCTGCTGCTGCTGCTGCTGATGTTGTCTCCTTTTTTTTATTGTTTTCTTTTTTTGCTTTTCTTCTCCCCCTTTCGGTCTGTTCGCAATGTGGGCGCATTTGTCTTTCACACACACGAACCCGTTGCACAGTAACAAAAAAAAGAAAACAAAAAAAGCGAGAGCAACCAGGCGACTGCCCCCCCCTCAAGATTTTTTTTTTCACAGCAGTGCGCTTGTACCCCGGAAGGAAGAAGATCCCACATCTGTACCACGCAATAGGAACGAACCCCTAGGAGCAAAGGAAGGCTATAGCAAAACAAATATAGATATATATATATATTTATATTTATTTTCGTCTTTGAGAGGGGGTGAGAGTAAAAAGGGAAATAGGCAAAAGGCTATTTCCATCGGTTTCACTTTCTTTCGGCACGTGTAGACACAACAAGTTTTACAGAAGTCATGTCAGTTGTCTGCAGTGATGTGCAGAGGCGGAGCTTTCACCACGACCCGTATGCCACACGGCTCCTCGCTGGTCGCAGTGAGCGAAGCAACAGGAACAGCACCAGCCTCAGCAGCACCAACAGCGGTAGCGGTAGCGGCAGCTGCAGCAGGGCTGCCCTTGATTTCTTCAACGCCGTCTCGTACATGGATGACAGCCAGTCGACGCCGCCCCCGAAGATCTTCGAGCGGGCGGACTCGCACGACCACATGACTGCCACCGAGGGCGAGGGTGGCATGAGCGACAACGGCACTGATGATGCGAGCCGCACGCTCTCCGCATATCCACAGGCCGCAGCAGTAGCCGCAGTGGTGCCGCCATCGGCGCCCCCCGCTGTGCGCTACGCCTCCGTTGACTTCCGCTTCGGCAGCGCATGGTTTGTGGCGCCGTTTCGCACCGCCGTTGGTGAGATGGTGGTGGTGGAGTACCCGCACAACGGCAGCCTCCACGTAGGGCTTGTCAGCTGCATCTCCACGCGCGTGCCACCTACCTTCGCCGCGCTGCTCGCGAGCGACGGTGGCGCGAGAGCAGGGGAGCTGGAGCAGTGCCCGCGGCTGCTGCGTCACGCGCGCGACTTCGACAAGGCGACAAAGTTGGAGCTGCGCACGCACGACCTCGCGTCGCTGAAGGCCGCGTCTGAGCTCGCGGCGGAGATGCAGGCGCCGGTGACATTCCTCGATGCGGAGTGGCTACTCGACCTCACGGCGGTGACCTTCCTCGTGAATGTGTGGGGTGATATGACGCTCGTGGACCGCCTCGCCGATGAGCTGGCGACACGCGAGGGTGCCGAAGTTGTCTTTACGTACCCCGCGCTGAACTGAGCCGGAGGGGGCAGTGATGTGAGTTGGAAATGAATGAGAGCAACGGAGAAATAACAGCAGCAACTAACAATAACATCATCATCACACGCGCCTTGCACCGAGCGAGAGAAGATGGAGTGAGAGAGAGAGAGAGAGAG